TAGCTATCAGAAAAACTTATGAATACTGCTACAAAGTAGCCAGGTAACAACTAACTCACGACTTAGCTGACAGAACCTCGAGAGTATCCTCCAACACGTCTTCACGCTACGAACGCTCGACCAAGACCTTGTGTCTTCCTCTCCAGCTGATTAATTTTCTCTTTCATCCAAATATTCTCCTCTTTCATTTCTTCCTGCTGTTGAATGGCAATTTGAAGTTTTGGTAGCATTTCATCATAGCTGTCAGAGAGAAATTTCATAGAGGTATTAATCTTTTCAAGTTGCTTATTTATTTATTTGTTGCCTATTTCATGATTTTTCTCCATCATCTCTAGTCGATTCACAAGTTCATCCATCATTTCCTTGACACTGCTTCCTTGTTTTACACAAGTCTTCCTTTGACATTTCCAGAATATGTGATCACTCTTCACCAAAGCTGGATACTCATCACTTGCTATATCCACACATTTGGCATGAAACCACACTTCACAGTCATCACATTGGACTCCTTCATGGGAGTTTTTCACCTCTTTACCACATCAGGTAGCCATTTATACAATGGATAATACCTTCAAAGTTTGGGAAAAAATTTTTCCAACCATGCAGATGGTTGGAAAATCATGCAGATGTCCATTTGCAAGCATGAGAAGTGTCATTCCTCTAAAGACAGTCTCCCACAAGCACAACTGATTCCTTATCTAGTTTGGACAGCTTGAGTGCACAGGAAGATGTTTGTGATGTCCATTATATCCTTAAAACGAAAAAGTAGAAGCGACCTGGAAAGGATCCCAGTCTGTAAAACTTGGGGCCAAATGGTCCAAACTGTGTACACTGGAGGACATTGACTCTTCTGGCATCTGACCTGGCATTTGAATTTCACAAATTCCATACAAAAATACCATCTTCTCTTTTTGGAGCTGAGTTTCTTATAAAGTTTCAACAGATCATGTGCTGCAGAGTGACAGCAGCATCTAGTGCTAATAGTGCTGCTGAGGAAGGAAAATGTGCCAAAGTACAGGATATCCCAAGAGCACTTGGCATCTTTCCAGTGCTTCCCTTCCTTCACAAGATATGAGGAAACAGGGGACTTTAGAGAGAGAAGCGACATGTTTTGTTCTCCAAAAGAAAATCTTTAATCTGCCTCTCTCTACTAGCCTGTGGATGAGCAAACAAGTTAAATGCCTACACTTATACTCCCAACACCACATCTTTAATCATTTGAAAACTCTAGTCATGTTTGGCATTTGCTTAAGTTGTTGTTTTGTTTTTGTTTTAAGGCATTTAACAAATGTTTTATTCCATGTTGCATTCATGGTGGAAAAATCTGCAAATCTTGTCTCATATATTTTAGTGGTGAAGGGTGCTATCCTCTCTTACTTGTTTTTATATTGAATATCTGAGTATATCTTTTTCATGGCATTACTTTCAGATTGCCTTTGTATTGCATAAGTACTGCATAATGAAAGTGCTGATTGAAAGCTTTTATAAGGTTTTATTTAAACACCTAAAATGTGATGTTATTGCTATCAAGCATGCAATGCTAATGCATTTTTATATTGCCCTAAATGCAATATAAATGGTTCCAATTTATTGTAATTTAATTGCAGTCACATTGTATTGGACAGAACTGCATCTTCAAAGCATTCTCTTTATGAAATGATAGTGCAGTTCTTTTTCATAAGGGAACGATTACAGGGGGAAGAGCCTCCTCCCTCCTAAGCTCAAGCTAGAGGCAATTGCTCAATTTCCATTTCCACACCCTCGTCCAGCATTCGCTGAGAAGTAGTGTAAGCCAATGGATGGGCAATGTCTGTGGAGACGTGTCCAAGCTAGCATGCAACAGCTGGGGTGAACCGTGCGCACTACGGAGGATCATTAGTGACTGTGGTTCCCAAATGGAGGTCTACAACAGAAGAGGACAACTCTTAGGTTCCCCATCAGTGTGAGGCTGCTCTCTATTACTAACACCTTTCCCTTATATAAGTTGTGTTATCATCAATAAATTGTTCACAGTGTTGAACTATGCACTTTTTATATCAACACGGAGTACTGAGTAATTCAAAGAAGCCAACCTTCCTGGAGTCAGTTTGGTAACAGGCAGACAGGAACACTACTGTCGAACTTAGAGGTCTCCCTTACAAACCTCTCCAAAGTATGCAACCTTTCTGATAACTGTCCAGCTAACTGCCACCTCAGATCTATGCCATGCGGTAGCCACCCTGGCTATGAAGCAATGTCAAATGTGGACATTCTCCATGCAGCAGCAACACATGATGGGGGAGGAGGAGTGAATGTTTATGGAGATTTCTGGAAAGCATTATGGAGGGTTCAGATAAGTTGACTCCTTTGAAACTGTTAGAACTGCAACAGTACAGGATGCAAATAAAACAGCAAATGTTCATGTTACCTTAAATGTGACTGACTTCCAGCACAATTAACTTACATATGCTCTGGAAATGGAGAAGGACTAAACTGGGAAGAAATTAAGGAATAACAGCTATACACAACTCAGTTTTCAACTTAAAAGAAACAATATAGGACGAAATATAGTTCAAGAAATATCAATTCTCTGAACGTCCTGCCCTGAGGGCATGATCGAGATCAGCAATGATATCCTTGGGGTTCTCCAGTCCAACTGAGATTCGCAACAAATTTGCTGTCACTCCCTTCTCATTGTCCTCCTCTGAAGGCAACCAGTTCCCTTCCAAATGCCTGCAATTTCAATGTCCATGGAACATCATTCATGATAAAAAGGTAATAATCAAATAAGAAACTCACAAAGCTCGAATGATGGAAGATGTACCACCAAGACTTGCAGCTTGATACAGAAGGTGAAGGTTTTTCATCAGGGATTTCACTTCCTTCTCTCCACCTTTCACATACAGGGCTATCATCCCTGGATATCCCCTGCATTGTTTCCTCAGCAGATCTTTGTATTCATACGAGTCCAGACCTATGGCAATCATAAAAAAAACTTCTGGTGGATAATCACTGACAAAATCCCATTCCCTGGCTATTTTCAATTATATTTCCATTTCTACCTGGGTGGATTACTCTTTCCACACAAGGATGCTTCTCAAGGAATCGTGCCACCATCAATCCATTCTCCATGTGTTTCTTCATTCTCAGGGGCAATGTTTGGATTCCCCTCAGAGTGAGATAACAGTCAAATGGGGAAGGTATCCCTCCCGCACCTGTCCCATCCAGTCCATAAATCATGTAAAGTTCATATGATCTGGAAAAGAGTTATTGGGATTAAAATACATAAAACATGGAAGTAGTGGACTGGCCATTCTGGATGAGATATGCAACATCATAGAGTTCCTTGTCATTCATGCAGAGAGCACCCATGATGACATCATCATGTCCATTCAGGTACTTAGTGACAGAATGAAGCACAACATCTGCCCCCAGGCTCAGTGGATGCTACAGATGATATTGTGAAAAAAAA